ATATATATATATATATATATAGCAAGACAATCTTTTTAGTCTTGCCCTGAATTGTTTAAATGTTATTAACCGCTTGAGTTATGGTGCAGCCTCTATGCGTCTTCAGTTACCTCTTTCAAACCAAGAGTCAAAGAAGAATTTCGGGCGGCTGCCCTGAAAGAATATATAGCTGGGGGACAATATTACTTACAGGCAGACAGCCCGATGTCACGGCGACCTCAGGGGCGCACTTCTTTTCCTTACGGAAGGAAAGTGAGCTAAATTTTAAAAATACAGAATCACGAAATACATGGAATGAAACTGGTTTGATGTTGTACTGACGGAGATAACAATTTGGTGCTGTTGCGAGGACTCTTAATAGGGCGTAACTCAACAATTCGTATTCTTGATTACGTACAGAGTTACGTTGCTAAGGATTCTTGACTGAGTTATGTAAGACAATGTAACAATTGCAGTCTATCCAACAATAATATCCGTGACCAAGTTCATTACTCTCACTTTTTCGTCTTTTATATCCACTACTTTTGTTTTTAGCGGATAGTGTCAACTATTGTCTAAGAATTAAGTTTCCTCAAGCAGGAAATTGACTTTATATATCTTTTTAATTGTTTCAAGTGAGTGTATTTATCTTGCAAGTCAGTGAGTACACGTATTAACTCATTATTTTCACATGAATGACTGTATCAAATTAGAGGAACAGGAACAAAGTAAAAGCTGATAATATTATGCCTCATCCCAAAACATATTATCACTTCCGGTTTTGTGTGCTCAAAATGCACCATAACGTTTATTGTGTTGTTTATGAAATTTTGCATTTTACACTTTTGATAATGAGCGATTAATCAATAACGGGATATGTGTGTCCTGCTTGAAGGCAGACCGTAGGAATTAAGGACATGCTTGACTCAATACGCGTGATGCCAATATAAGCGTCAAAGTTCTTGCCGGAAATTATTCTTCAAAATTTCAGCGTATGTGGTGACTGGCCACGCCCTGCCCATATCCGTTAAAGTTCCTGTTGTTTGTGATAATTCAGAAAGAAGACACCCAACAGAGCTTAGTTATGCGATAAAACGTGCGATTCTCAGATTTCCGCCAAAAATTCTTACTTAATTTTTCAGTTTTCCTCAGACATTTAAGAGCCGGGTTAGCATAATCGGTATAGTGACTGGCTACAAGCTGGGCGACCAAGGAGTCGGAGTTCGAGTCCCGGTCGGGTCAAGAATTCTCTCTTCTCCACGTCGTCCAGACCGGCTCTGGGGTCCACCCAACCTCCTATCAAATAGGTACCGGGTGCTCTTTCCCCAGGGGTAAAGCGGCAGGGGCGTGAAGCTGACCACTCACCTCCAACTAGTGCCGAGGTCAAGAAATGTGGATCTATACATCCACTCCCTCATACGCCTTCATGGCGTAGTGCTTAATTAGTTAAGCACAAGGACAACTTTACCTCTTACCTTTTTCCTCAGACAATCAGTTGAATGCTGAGCAGTAACTTCTCATGTATTACTTATTCATGGAGCTGAGCCCTTCTTGAGGAGAAGCCAAATCTGCAGCTACTCAAGTAATTCCCAGCATTTTATGGAACCCGAAGGTTCATTACTGTGTTCACAAGAGCCCTCCACTGGTCCCTATCCTGAGCCAGAATATTGTCCACCCACCTACGCCTTGGTCTTCCCAGTGGTCTTTTTCCTTCTGGCTTTCCCACCAATATCCTATATGCATTCCTTGTCTCACTCATTCGTGCTACATGCCCTGCCCACTTCATCCTCCTTGATTTGATTATTCAACATAAGTATACTTGGAGAAGAGTACAAGTTCCTCAGTATGTAGTTTTCTCCAACCTCCTGTCACTTCGGTCCAAATATTCTCCTCAACACCTTGTTCTCAAACACCCTCAGTCTATGTTCCTCCCTTAATGACAGAGACCAAGTTTCACACCCATACAGAACCACAGGCAAAATTATAGTTTTTTTATATTAACTTCACATGTATACACGTAATTATCTTACTACACCTTCAGTAAATAATTATTCGCTATTTCACTGCATTCAATTACAGAATATTTCGTTATATATTATTTTATTGTCATATTTACATCCGAAGGTAGGAAGCAAGTAACAGCCATTCTTTGTCGTTAATGTCGACCTGTGCCCATGTAATGAAGTCTCTGTGTATGGTTGAAACAAAGTTCCAAACTTAACCCATCAATTAACTCACTCCACAGAGCAGGGTTCTTCTTGCGCGAAGTTAATTCATTCATCAATGGCTCGACAGCCCTTTGTTGGCCCTGTCTTCTTCTTCAGTTTCGTGATCTCTTTTACACACTCGGTAAGACTCCTTGGACGGGTGATCAGCCCGTCGCAAGGCCGCTACCTAAACACAGGACAACACAAACACAAAATTAGACGCACACACAGACATCCATGCCTTGAGTGGAATTCGAACCCATGATCCTAGCGCTCGAGCTAGCGAAGACAGTTCATGCTTAAAAAAGCAGTCTTCTGGGATGTGGTACTGGGCATATGTGGTGCTAGCCGACGTATCGGAGGAACATATCGCCTCCATCTTCAGGGTAGAAGAAAAAATAAGAAAATCCGCAAGCGAAGAGACCGTGAGAACCGGTACAAGCAGACGGTCTCTTCGCTTGCGAATTTTCTTATTTTTTCTTCTACTCTGAAGATGGAGGCGATACGTTCCTCCGAAACGTCGGTTAACACCACATCTACACGGTGCCATATTCCAGAAGACTGCTTTCTTCATAGTCACCGCCGTGAAAACCTCAAATCTTACATAGTTCATGCTTAGTTCGCGCGGCCACTGTGATCGGCGATATTTAATCAGCTGGTCAAACAATTTACCACATTTTATGAACGTTCATTACCACTGGTAACATCCCTGAGCCACACGGACCCAGTGCAAACTCTTCTACCCCGCTTCTTTGAGATCGATTTTAATCTATGCCGAAGCCTTCAAAACAGTCTCTTCACTTCAGATTTTACGATCAAGATGGATTTCTCATTTTTAACACGCCCCTTCCTAATTGGATAATCTTGCGGATATTTGATGAAGACTACACGTTATGGGACCGCCTCTGTGGCCTAGTGGTCAGAGTTCCTAGCTACAGATCCAAAGGTCCCGGGTTCGATTACGGGCGCTACCAGATTTTCTGAGAAGTAATGCGTCTGGAACGGGGTCCACTCAGCCTCGTGAGGATAATTGAGGAGATATTTCAAGGAAACAGCGGCTCCGGTCAAGGAAC